ACTTTTGTACTTTCACTCGAGTAAAATTGAAAACTGAGTACTTTTACTTTTACTGGAGTCATATTTTATTATACGGATCTGTACTTTTACTCAAGTACTTGATTTGTGTACTTCGTCCACCGCTGGCAATTGCCTACTTTCTACTGTTTCATCAGGGTTCAGTTTATGTCCTTTCTTTTCAGATTTCTCAGTTTTTTTTTTTATTTACTGAAAATTAAACATTTTTAAACTTGCATTTCAGAGTTGATTGAAGAAAACAAGGAGGATGAAGAACTGAATGAAGAGGAGAAACATCATGTCAAAACTGGAGAAAAACCTTCGAGTCGCTCTCAAACCAAACAGAAAGATTTAAAATATGTGCTTTGAGTGTGAGAAGACTTTTATTACAGCTCAACATTTGAAACTGCACGAGAGGATCCACACTGGAGAGAAACCTTACACGTGTTCACGCTGCGACAAGAGATTCATTCAGTCATCACAACTGAAAACACATGCGAGGATCCACACTGGAGAGAAACCATTCAAATGCAATCAGTGTGGGAAGAGTTTTACATACAAAGGAGGCCTTATGCTGCATATGAGGGTTCATACGGGAGAGAAGCCGTTCACATGTGATCAGTGTGGGAAGATATTCGCACGAACATCAAAACTTAAGGATCACATGAACATCCACACTGGAGAGAAACTGTATGAATGTGATCAGTGTGGGAAAACATTTTTGTGGGCTTCAAACCGGAATGATCACCTGAAAGTTCATTCAAAGGAGAAACCACATTCATGTTCTTTGTGTGGCAAGAGTTTTTCACATCTGCAGAAATTAAAAGTTCATCAGAAGATACACACTGGTGTGAGAAATCATATGTGCTTTGAGTGTGAGAAGACTTTTATTACAGCTAAAGATTTAAAACGGCACCTGAGGATCCACACTGGAGAGAAACCGTATCACTGCACTGCATGCGGGAAGAGTTTCAGTCGTTCATCTTATCTACGCAGTCATACAAAAAAGATTCACAGTCAGTAGATCATCTGGATTTTTAATTTTCTGTCGAATAGGCCGCAAGTGGTAAAAGTGGACAATTCATTATCACCCACCATTGTTCTTAATACTGGTGCCCCCCAAGGATGTGTATTAAGTCCATTTCTTTACATTCTCTATACGAATGTTTGTCAGAGTCCCATCTACTACTATTCATTATTTTAAATATGCAGATGACACAGCTATTCTTGCGTTGCTCAAAAACAGTGATAACGATTCTTTTTTGGACTATCAACGTTCCATAACATATATTAGCACCATGGTGTGATGACAATTTTTTACATCTTAACATTTCAAAGACTAAAGAACTGGTTTTTAGCTCCTCCAAAACACAGATCCATCTCAGTATTGACATTAACGCAGAGATGGTTGAAAGAGTCGAGCATTTTAGCTATCTTGGCATTACATTGGATGATCATCTCAGTTTTAATCAGCATATCTTAAGTATCCATAAAGGCTGTCAGCAGAGACTTACAGTGCTCCGTAAACTTAAGCAGCTGTCTGTTCAGCCTCGTCTCCTTCTTCTCCTGTATTGGAGTATTATTGAGCCCGTTCTTATGTATGGTGCCGTTTGTTTTTTTTCATATGCTTACAGCTGTTAACGGGAACAAACTTTTAAAGATGCCTCATTTGGCTAAAACACATAGGAAATTAGCCATCGTCTTACACTCTTGCAATTTGTATGTACTTGTAAGGTACCTGTCCTTGTGTTGTATACGCACCTTCTGTGAAAATGAATTTCCTCTGTGGACAAATAAATAATCTATCTATCTTCAGATCCAGCACTTTCAGGTGTGATGCTGCGTCCTCACCAAACATGACACAATAATACATCAAGCAATAAAATCTCGTATAAATCTGTCATAAGCAGCCAAAACAAATGACAGGACAAAGAAACATCATCTAAAGTTTTCACTGTGAATGAAGTTCATCATTTCATCTGTGAGATTCAAATGATCATTTAATTATTATTATTATTATTATTATTTTATTATTACTTTTTTTTTTTACATATTTACCATTCTTGTTCAGAAAGCTAAGAAGAGGCTGTAAAACTGAGATTTACTTGTTTGTAATAACTTATTTATCTTTTTTTTTCTTTAGTTTTATTGTATTGAGATACATTGGCTCTCTTGTAAGTTAATTAAAAAAGATATGTCTCATTGGTTTTAACTTTAATGGAGACATATTATGCCCCTTTTTACAATATATAATGTAAGTCTTTGGTGTCCCCAGAATGTGTCTGTGAAGTTTCAGCTCAAAATACTCCACAGATCATTTATATCATTTTGAAAATGCCTATTTTGAGTGGAAGCAGAAACACGCTGTTTTTCGGGCCTGTTTCTTTAAATGCAAATGAGCT